CGCATAGTGAAACTTTTTTTTTCGAATACAATCAGGTTTTCAGTCGCAATAGACATCTTTGAATCGATCTATAATTCATTTTTAATGGACTGTCTAGTAAATACAATATCTTATCATTGATAAAATTCACATATTCGTTGTGCTGTTTTACATAACTAAAATAATATATGTTGATGCAAAATTAATGATCATTGATGATCGTATGGCTATATGTGATAGTGCAAATATAAATGATCGTTCATTAGTTGATAATCGTCATAGTAAATTTAGTGTTACAATAAATGATCTGAAAGAAGAAGATGATCGGTTTAATGAAGAGCCAGTTCTTGTAGGAAAATTTTGTTCTAGCTGGCGTAAAAAGATCATTGAGTATATTTTATATCTAAAACTACAATGATTTTCATAGAAAACTATTTGACTTTTTAGGATGATTTAAGGTATTCAATTCGACAATCCAAATAGCATTGATGTAACTGATCGAATATCGAATAAATTTTATTCTTATTTTCAAGATGTAGCAAAACAAATACACTTATTTTTGAAGAAGTTTTTTAGGCTAAAAAAAAATTGAAAGGTATTCAAGGATTTGTTTTCGGATATCCAATTCATTTTCTTGATAAAGAAAATTATTTACCTGGTATGTCAACTCATGAAGGTAAGAGTTTTTCATTTCATTACCGATAATAACTTTGGACAATTATCGTCATATGAATATCAGAGCTTCTTTTTATATTGACAGAGTTCTTCTAATCAATGACTGATACATTCGCGTTGTATTATCAGAAAAAAGAGCATGTGATATTTCCAATAATTTTCTGATTAGGTCAACCACCCTATGAACTGTTTGTTATTTCACTTGTTTTAGATATAGCTTCACTTACAATATGCTCTTTAAATACTTATTTTTATTAGGAAGATGACAAATTAACAAGAAAATAAGTAACTATTAGAAAACATGTTAGCATAATCAAAAATTATTTATTTAATTATATTACCGGTGGAGTAGATACTCGTTTTTTTGTCTTCCATTTTCTATACTGTTTTGATGTTCTAGGCGTTTTTATTTCTATTTGTCTTTTTTTCTTCATTCAATATTTTTCATGTATTTATTTACTTAATCAAATGTTTTCATTTTAAATATATATGCATTTTAATAATATTTGTTTTTTCCTATGATATGGTAACAGTCAGAAGTGCAAGACGATTCACAGATTCAACACTATTTGAATATACCATGTGCCCTACCGCGACTGGATAGCGTTTTTCCATATTATCTCTGAAAAATCTCAACATATTTAAGTTTGATAAGGTAGATATTCTGACAATATATAAAGGTCCTGGTGCACTTCTATAAAGTTTCAAACTTTTAGTATATACTCTAATATATCGTTGCATGATTTTGGTGTTTTGTAACTTTAAATTGCTACACAGTGGAATCATCTAGTACTTTTCCCTTAATGTTGAGAATTGCTGCACTTACCGACTCTTTTGCTCTGATCCTACCAGCTATAGCTATCTCCGAAGCTTTTCGCTCTTATTCTGACACATTAACGCATCATATAATGTCTCTTGCCTTGACATGATACGTTCTTCATCTGGTCCGAAGTCTTTTTTCACATTCTGAGATATCGACTTGTAGCTGGAGGCATTTTTGCTCACTCAGACGCACGAATATGTGTGACGGCAGTATTTGCCATTATCGTGGCAGATTTCTATATGGTTGCAAGGAAATGAAGTAAGGATGTTAAATACAATATCGTAGAATTTGAGGTGCATAAGAATATGAAACAAATATGAGATAGATCCAGAAAGATAAGTCAACTAAAAACTTGCTTGTCGAATATTATCCAGTTGGTTCACTAAAAGAAAAGATTCAAAAAATTTGATTCTATTGGTGGTGGTAGGTAGGGTGTGAGTATGGATCTAGTAAGAAGGATACATTCACACAGCCACATCCTTAGGAGTAAGTTTGTTTTTTCATTAAATTCTTCAATATAAAAAAGAAAATAAAATGTTGTTTAGCTTCAAAATACAATTCATTAGCCTTATAATACAAATGAAAACGTTGAAATAATACGTGAAAGTAATACAAGATTAGTAAGATGGTATGATGGAAGGTAATTTTATTAAATAATTATAAAATAAAAAAAAGAAATTATTTATATTTTAGTTTATCTTTATATGTTAGAAAAAAATATTTGATGCATCAAAAGCAAATATTCAAATTGATCATAATCATTTATTTGTCATCAAAAAAAAGTATGCTAGCTCAAGCTATTTTTCGTACAAAACTTTCACTCAGGTTTCTATTTAAGTTAAAGTTTTTCTTTAAAGACAACATTCAAATGATTTATTAGCCCATTTTAAACTTAAATTTGTAAGTAAAGCTAATCTAGCACCAAAAGTTCGTTTATTATCAAATATAAAAGCAGTTGATATTAATAGTATTGTTTTGAGAAATGTTTGTTTTCTTTTTGTTTTTAAATTTAATTTTAATTTATAATTTCTATAGAAAGAAGAATAACGAATGAAAGCTGAAGAACGTCGATTTAATCAACAATTACGACAACGTGAAAGAGCTGCTTATAGAGATCAAAAAATGTCAACTAGTTATCTTGAAGATAATGAACAAGAATCATTAAATACAATTCAACAAAATTTTAAGAAAAAGAGAAATTAAAAGTTTAATTTATTTTTTTTTAATAAGCAAAAAAAAACATAAATAAATCTTTTAGATTCAGGTGAATATCGAGCTGAAAGAACATGTGAAGATGATTCAAATAATGAGCAACAAAATAAAAGAAAACGTGTTCAATCTGTTGAAGATAATGATGAAGAAGAACATGAGTCAGATTAATTATTAACAATTTTTTCTATTTTCTTCATATTCAGATCTGCTTGAAAATTAAATTCTATTCTTTTGTTTTATAATGACAAAAAAAAACACAAAGAAAATATCAAGAGATAAAACTTTGTACAATTCTAACATTATATATTATTAAATAAATTAACTCGATTTCTCAAGTTTTTTTAAATTCTAATATTAAAAAAAAGAATATAAATTTAAAAATAAAAAACTAATCATCTAATTATATTTGTAATTTTTATTGTTGAAAAGAGGAGTTAAAGACGCCTCTAACTAATTGTGCATTATAAGTTTATCTTAAAAAATAAGAAAAATCCACAAAGAGTTTCATATAAAATGTCTATAACTTCTAAACAGATAAACTTAAAAGTCTACGTCTTGTATGGTTTTTAAAAATCTTCATATAGTTATTTAAATGCATATCTAATTATTGAAAATTGACCATAATCATCTTACGGAATATGTGCTTTTTCAAAAACATCGATTTTAATTCTTGATAAAATTAAGTCAAATTATACTGTAATATACAATTCGATATGTCTTCATCTATTCGTTTTAACAGTGAATTCGCAGCTCTATACAGTATTTCTATCAAAATTTATTTTAAAAAATATTCAGCCACTTTTTATTTTGAAATGGGCAGTAAGTGCAATTGTATTTTTTCTTAAGAAAAATCTTCTGAGAGCAACTCTTTTGAAGCTGAAAAATCTTGATCTTAAAATTTACAATCATTAGTTTCTTCGAAAATATATTTGATTTATACAAATATGTTCCCTACGCATCTCATCAGACGAGAATCATTTGCATACTATAGCCTAGTTGCGATGATAAATAAAAATTTTTTTTTGTTGAAACAATTCGAATTTTATTTTATATTAATAATACAATCAATA